AACACATTTTACCAAAGGATCAGGCACCAAAGCAAGCCAATAACTGCAAACAACATTCCAGGTATATTCCTCCAAATATTCACCTGTATTTCACTTTATCTCAAAGGGCAGGAAGGACAGCAGCATTTGGAAAGGAGACACATTGCTGACAGCAGCACCCCCAGCCCCTCCTGCTGTCACAGCACTCCCACCTGCCCAGGGGTTTTTGGGAGAACAGAGCCCCTCTGGATTTACCACTGGCACTCAGCCCCATCCTGTGAGGGTGGTTTGGGTTTAAAAGCAGCTCCACACCATTTCCAAGTCCAATCAATACAGATTGTCCTCCAGGAATAACAAGTGCCCAAACCCACACACCTCCCCAGCTGTGGTTGGAAACTCACTGAGGATGACCAACACAATTTTCCATCCTGGAAAAATCCCATCTTTTCTCCCAGCTGGGGAAGGACTCCCATTACTGGGGATTTTTGGGTTTCTCACCTCATCATGGGGATGCCTCTCTTGGCAGTGTCAGCTGTGCCACACTTCATACTCCCCTGGGACTCCAGGTTCAGCATCATCCCCTTCCCTGTGACACATCAGAGGGAGGAGCCCCATGCAGGAATGCTGCTGTGCCAGGCAAAACTGCTCTGAGGTCCATCATTCTTCTGCTGCCCAGCCAGAATTAATATTATTTCTCTTTCTCCTTGCCTTGCAGACAGCTATGGCAACATCGAGCCTGCCCTGGAGCCAGTGTGGGCTCTGGCTGTGGCTGGCAGCAGCTCCATCATGTGGGAAAAGTCCACAGAGACCTTGGGATACTTCCTGGCCCAAGTGAAGTCCGTGAGGCAGTGGGTGAGTGGGGCAGGGGGGCCAGGGGCAGCACTGAGCCCCCTCTGAGGGCGTTTCCCCAGATCCCAGGGCCTGCTCCTCACCAGCAGCTCCACCTCTGCACGAGCACTTCCCCAGGTTTTGCTGGGAAAATTGTCCTGACTGGATCTGCAGGGGAGGCTCTGCAGGGGCTGCAGTCCCTGAGCCTCTGCCCCCTGCTCACACCCAGTCTGGGCAGCAGCTCCAAGGCTGCAGCACATCCAGAGCACTTCCAGAGCCCTCAGCCAGCTGGGATCCACGGGCAGCATCCAGCTTTAGCTCCTCAGCTATTCAGCATCTCTGTGGAGGAAAGGTTCCTGTAATTCTCAGATGTAATTGAGGGTTAAATTCAATTAATTAGCACCTGGTTTCAGTGCAGACAGGCTGCAGAGCCACACAGCTCTTGGTGTCCTCAAACATTCCATGCAGGAATTCCTAATTCCATCTTTCCACAATCAAAACCCATCTGACTGCAGCCAGCAACCACAGCCACGGGGCCCTGCTCACCTCCTTCCCTGAGCTCCAGTAAATCACAGCAGACATTGGATTTTAACAATATTAAGCTGTGTTCCTGATAATTCTTCCCTTTTTCTACACCTGCCCAGATCAGGAAAGACGATTTTATTGAGTTTGACTACACGGTGCTCCTGCATGAAATGCCAACCCAGGTAAGGAAGTGCATGTGAACAACCCCTCCTGCAGCAGGGGCTGAGCTGGGCTGGGATGGGGCTCAGGTGCACCAGGATGGGGCTGAGCTGGGCCAGGATGGGGCTGAGCTGGGCCAGGATGGGGCTGAGCTGCACCGGGATGGGGCTGAGCTGCACCGGGATGGGGCTGAGCTGCACCGGGATGGGGCTGAGCTGGGTCAGGATGGGGCTGAGCTGCACCGGGATGGGGCTGAGCTGCACCGGGATGGGGCTGAGCTGGGCCAGGATGGGGCTGAGCTGGGCCGGGATGGGGCTGAGCTGCACCGGGATGGGGCTGAGCTGCACCGGGATGGGGCTGAGCTGGGCCAGGATGGGGCTGAGCTGGGCCGGGATGGGGCTGAGCTGGCCAGGGATGGGGCTGAGCTGCACCAGGATGGGGCTGAGCTGGGCCAGGATGGGGCTGAGCTGGGCCACGATGGGGCTGAGCTGGGTCAGGATGGGGCTGAGCTGCCCCGGGATGGGGCTGAGCTGGGTCGGGATGGGGCTGAGCTGGGCCAGGATGGGGCTGAGCTGTGTCAGGATGGGGCTGAGCTGGGCCAGGATGGGGCTGAGCTGGCCCAGGATGGGGCTGAGGAGCTGCACCAGGATGGGGCTGAGCTGCACCAGGATGGGGCTGAGCTGCACCGGGATGGGGCTGAGCTGCCCCAGGATGATCAGATCTGTGTTTAAATCCCTCTCCAGGAAATCATTTCCTGCCACATGCGCCTGACGTGGCTCCCCGGGCAGCCCCTGAAGGTGAAACATTTCTGTGCTCCCGAGGGCCACGGTGCAGAGCAGGGATCTGGGGCAGAGTCTGGATCAGCTGCTGGGCCTTCAGCTGAAAAGGGAGCCGGTTTTTAAGTGAAATCCTCACTTTTGTGGATATGGATGCAGTCAGCAAATCCGTGTGCTGACAGACCTGGAGCTGGGATGGTCCTCCCGTGCAAGGCAGTGACTGGGAGTGGTTTCACTGATTGTTCTGTGCCAAAATCCATCCCTGTCACTTCTTCAACGGCGAGATTCAAGTTGTGCAGCTCTGCCTGAACCCTCTGCTACTCCATATATACACAGATGAACATACAGCAGTTGATTTGATGTCACTAATTAACTGTTACTTAACAGTTTGTAAACAAAATTAATATATTTGGATACAAATCATGAGCAAAGTGTTAGTCTGTCACTGAGAGATTTGCCTACTAATCTTTTGCCATGTTTTGGGCTAGAATCATGCTGATTTTTAACTCACATCTCCAATAAACCAAATGCCATCACTCAGGGTCGAGGCTGGGTTTTCTTTCTGCTGCTGTTGGAGCCCAAATTTCCACCTTCTCTGTCACCTCGAATCAAAGCAGACCTGCAGAGCCAGGAGGCTCCTTGGGGATTCATCCCCGTGTTTGGGACAGCTCCTGTGACATTCCTGCCATGTCCTGTCCCCCCACAAAGTCACAGCTTTGTTTGGGCCACCAAATTCTCCAGCTGGGCTCCCAGCAGCTCCATCTCTGTCCCACCTCTGCTCACTGCAATGTCCCAAACTGTCCCAAAGTCACCCTTTTCCCCCACCAGCCAGGTTTGTGGCAGGATCAATGAAATCCTTCCCAAGAACACCACGTTCCTGAGGAACAGAGGCTCTGGGGTGGCTGTTCTGTCATACTTGGGGTGGTTTTCACAATCCTGGAGCTGTAATTGGGAACAGTTCAAGGATTTCACACAACAGCTTGCCCTGGATGTTTTCAGGTGGGTGATGTCAGCTTCCCAGATTCCAGCATTTTACACAAGTAAGTCTGATTTCCTGACTGAAGCTTTTCCCCTCAGCCCCCAGTAAACTCAGGGAAGCAGCATTCCACACCCTCCTGGTGTTTTCTTTCCTGCTGGGAGAAAACATTTTTCATCATCAGAAGTGTGAAATCAGGAAGTAGAATTCCAAAATTCCTTAAAGAAGCTGGTGATTAAAATATTTTTTTTAATTAAGTCAAGAAAATAGGATGGATTTGGCACTTGGGGGCTCTGCTTTTGTCTCCTTACCTGGTTTTGGCCTCTGCTCTGCAGGGCTGGAATAGAGCACCAGGCACTTCCCAGGCACCAGGCTGGTGGAACTGGCTGCTCACAAATTCACAGCAGTTCAGGAACTCCACAGGAACTCCTGGATAAGTAGCAAAGCTGTGGAATTCTAAGGCAAAATCTCCCCCAGCTGCTTTTAGGCCAAGGTTTCAGCCTAAACCCTCAAATCATAGAGCAAAGTTCTGGTTTGTTTCTTTCCTGGGTTTGTGGAGAACCAGCACGTCTGGCAGAACTCATCAGCCAGGAATTCACATCACAACTGGTCTAAACAAAATACAGACCCCATAAATAGAAATATAAATCACATCAATAGAAACAAACATCAGAAACACAAATATAAACCTCAGAAACACAAATTCAAACATCAGAAACACAAATATAAACCTCAGAGACACAAATAAAATCATACCCACCCTGTTTCCTGTCCTGTGTTGACACTGCTTTTATCAGACATCTCCAAATTTTGGGGAAAGTGCTATATTTGCTTGTTTTAGAAAACTTCCAAATGTCTAAGAACCTGCAGGGCTTTTCTGGGAATGAATTCCAGCTGAGCATTCCCAAAAGCAAAGCCGTGATGTGCGGGAATTGGGGATTTGTCCCAAGGCAGCACCACACGGACGCCCCGCGTCTCGCCTGGGGCCCATCAGCAGCTCCAGGCCCTGGCAAATCCTTTCCCAAGGTTTCCATAAATCATTTTCCAGCCCTTCCAGAGGAGAAGCAGCCTGGCTGCTCCACTTGTTTCTGTCTGGGAAGCAGCAAGGCCAGTGCTGTGCCAGGAATGTCGCTGGGTTTGAACTGGAACTTCACTCCCTGTTTACTGGAATCTGCAAAAACACTTCAGCTGAGCAGGGCAGGAAGGAGGAGAGAAAACTCAACGTGGACATTCTGGGAATAATTACAAATACAGAATTATGGGAATATCTTCTCACCTAACACCTTTGAGTCAGCAAAGTCAAGTGATTCCTGAGCTGGACATCAGCTGCAACTCGGCCTCTGGATTGCGAGATTCTGGGAAAAGGGATCTTTGGTTTGGATTTCTAACCAAGAGCCAAAAGCCAAGCACATACACAAATCCACACCCCAAACCCATTAAATCCACAGCTCCAAGCCATGCAGTAATTCCATCTTGTTCCCAGCTCTGGGAAGAGGCAGCTCCTCCCAACATCCTTGGCAACTCAGCTCCATCCTTGGGCACCAGTGAAAGTGGATTTGGTGACAAGCACTGACTGATGGCTTTGCCCAGTGGCTTGAGACTTTGGAGGATCTTGTGCCATTTCCAAAGGATTGGGAGGGGAAAATTCCATCTGCTCCCTGGAGGGAAGCTGGAGCACCATGTTCTAAGTGATGTCCCACACCCTGTACCTGTCCAGCAGCTCTTACCTCAGTTTAACATTCCCAAATAAAGATGCATCAAGTAAAAAATAAAATTATTTTAATAGATCTTGATTAAGACAAATCATCAGCCGTGTTTTAACATCTATTTGTTACAAGAGCATTTACACAGAGCAATCCCGTGGTGATCCCCTGGTGCTGCTGACACCACCCCAGAGGAAAGGTTCCATGATGAAATTCCAAGTCCAAATCCCACTGGAGCCCACCTTACCCAGCCAGCCTGGGCTGCTCCATGGCTTGGGAAAGCGAGCTGTTGGAGAAGGCTGGGACAGGCTGTTCAGAGGACTCCAGAGGAATCCCATCAGCTCTTGGCTTTGCCCTTTTTGGCAGGAAGTCTCCCCGTTGCTTCCAGGTATTTGTTGATGATTTCCTCCTGGGTGCTGGCTGAACAGGGGTGGTATTTGGAGTATTCCATGGTGTATTCCCCTTTTCCCTGCAGAGTTGGGAAGAGAGGATGGGCCATGTGCAACCCTGCTGGGCACACAGCTCCTGTCTGAAGGGATCCCCGGGATCCTCCACAATCCCACCCAAACAAACTCCTCAGCTACAGGAGAATTGTTTGGCCAGGAATTCCACAGCTCTGATCTGATCTCATTCCCTGCTGCAGCTGCCAGGGACAGGACGATCCAATGAGCCCAAATTCACAGAATCAAACACGTTTGAGCAAAAAGGACCAGGAGGACTCACCTCTGTGCAAGACCTCAGCTCCGTGGCATATCCAAACATATCGTTCAGTGGCACCTAAAATCCAAACATATTTGCTCAAAATGAGGTTTTTTCCATCACTTTTGGGCTATCAGCTAATTAATCCCAATTATGACATAAAGAGTCAGTGCTGTGTGTAAACAGCTCTGATTTAATTGTCTGCTGTTGTAAAGTATCTGTTATTTTAATTAATTTATATTTCCAGTGTGTTTTCAGCAGAAAAATCTGAGAGTTTGAGTGCACCAGGAACTGGAATATCCTAAATTCAGTGATGAGTCAACCAGCAAGGTTTGAGGTATCTCCAGACATTCCTCCAAGGATAATTTGGGAAGCAGAAGGGCCACAGGGTGCGGCTCACCCAGCAGGAAAACACCCAGTGATCCTCTCCAATCATTTGGAGGAGGGAGATAAAAGAAGGAACATTGAAATCGAGTCAACCTACAACTGTATCCATATAAACTGGGGAAAACAATGGACTCAAACACAGGGAAGGGGAGGTGAGGAGCAGTGAGCACAGACCTCAGCATAGAGGGTGAAGTAGCCCTCGGAGCCGTCCTGGCCCGTGATGACGCCGTGGCGCCGGTTGATCCCAGCTATCACTGCCCCCTGGAATTCCACGGGAGCCACCACCTCCACGGCCATGATGGGCTCCAGGATGCGCACGGCAGCGTTCTCCATGGCTGGGGAAGGATGGAAACAGGAATCCAGCATCAAAGGGGAGCCTGCTCCAAGGCAAGCTGCTCCCATGCACAGCAGCACGTGGTTTATGGGTAATGTCAGGGAAAAACCGTGAGAACGCGGGGAATTCCAGCTCCTGGCCTTTCATTCCTGGAGCCACAATCACAGAATCGTCAAGGCTGGAAAAGACCCCCAGGATCATCAAGACCAACTGTGGCGGATAGCACTGTGCTCACTAAACCCTACTGGGAAATGCCACATCCACACATTGTCTGAGGGATTGTCTCCAGGGATTGTCACCCCAGCACTCCCAAGGCAGCCCCTTCCAGCGTCCAACCTCTCCTTCAGTGAAGGAATGTTTCCTGAAAAAGGCCCAGTTTGACCAAATGTTCTTTTCCTACCCCATTAGGATGAACCTAGTGGTGTTGCTGTACTGAATTCTAGAAAAACAGGATTCCCTTTGTACAGCCACAGGAATTACTGTGCCTCCCTCAGGAATTGTATAAACTCTCGTGCATGTTCTGCTCCATAAAACTGGGAAAGCTTTGGGGGGGATGGATGGATGGATGGATGGATGGATGGATGGATGGATGGATGGAATAGGTGGGTGGGTGGGTAGGTGGATGGATGGGTGGATGGATAGATGGATGGGTGGATGGATAGATGGATGGAATAGGTGGGTGGGTAGGTAGGTGGATGGATGGATGGATGGATGGATGGATGAAGGGATGGAATAGGTGGGTGGGTGGGTGGGTGGGTGGGTGGATGGATGGATGGATGGATGGATGGATGGATGGAGGGATGGAGGGATGGAGGGAGGGAATAGGTGGGTGGGTAGGTAGGTGGATGGATGGATGGATGGATGGATGGATGGATGGATGGATGGATGGATGATGGATGGATGATGGATGGATGGATGGAGGGAATAGGTGGGTGGGTAGGTAGGTGGATGGATGGATGGATGGATGGATGGATGGATGGATGGATGGATGGATGGATGGATGGAGGGAATAGGTGGGTGGGTAGGTAGGTGGATGGATGGATGGATGGATGGATGGATGGATGGATGGATGGATGGATGGATGGATGGATGGATGGATGGATGGATGGATGGAATAGGTGGGTGGGTAGGTAGGTGGATGGATGGATGGATGGATGGATGGATGGATGGATGGATGGATGGATGGATGGATGGAATAGGTGGGTGGGTAGGTAGGTGGATGGATGGATGGATGGATGGATGGATGGATGGAATAGGTGGGTGCGTAGATGGATGGATGGATGGATGGATGGATGGATGGATGGGTGGATGGGTGGATGGGTGGATGGGTGGATGGGTGGATGGGTGGATGGATGGAATAGGTGGGTGGGTAGGTAGGTGGATGGATGGCTACCAGCCAGCAGAACCCACCCAAGGAGGAGGCTGTACCTTGTTTGAGGGCTCCCTCTCCTGCCCTGATGAAGGAGATCTCGTTGGAGTCCACCATGTGGTGGGCGCCGTCCTCCAGCACGAAGCGCACCCCGGAGATGCGGTGTCCCGAGAGCAGACCCTTCTCACAGGCATCTCTGAAGCCCTGGCAATGAACAACACCTCTGCACTGCCAGCCTCTGCCACCTCAGCTTGATTTTGTACAAACAAAAATCACACAACCAGGAAAAACGGCCTCGGGGTTTGCCTTTTTAACAGATTCCATGGCCAAACCCCAAAAGAATGCTCAGTGTGGAAAGAACTCTTGCCTGGAGAACAAGATTCCTTTAAGGCTATGGTTTTTTCAGGATTTGGCAAAAATCTTAAAGTGTTGCAGCATGGAAAAATGAAGGAATAATTGTAGGTTATCACAGGAATTCCAAGATGTTGGTAGGTTAATTAAAGCTGTGTATAATAAATTATACAGTGAGGCAGTCACAGAGGAGATAAAGAAAGAGAATTTGGGAACTGAGGCAGGAAATGGAGCTTAATTACAGTTTCCTGTATAACTGGCCTCAGAGGAGTCACAGAAGAAGTTACATATTTTGGGGTTGGGAGGAGAATTGTGGGGCCACAACCAGAAGCAGAAGAGGCCAGGAAAAAGCAGCTTGAGCAGGAGGCTCTGACAAGGGAAACAGAGGCAGCACACACCACCAAAGACAACAGCAGCTCCTGAATTAGCTGAAAACCCCAGGAATGCAAGACGTGGAGTAAAACCACACAGCTGTGATCCTGGAGCAACAGGAAAAGCCTCCTTTCCTGGGGCAAGGCAGGCACAGCAAATGTGGGTGGTAGTGCAGGAACACAACAGCAATCAGGATTTTCTGTGTCACAGAGAGAGGTCTGTACCTTTTCCACAGCTGGCACAAACTGCTTGGGAATATTTGTGCCAATGGTTCTGTCCTCAAACTCCAGTTTGGTGAAGTCCTCTGGCTCCAGGGGCTCCAGCACTCCGATCACTTTGCCGTACTGGCCGGCTCCTCCCGACTGCTTCTTGTGGGTGAACTCAAACCTAAATCCAACAACACCCCAAATACCACATCACTCCTGACACAATCCACAGCTTTCCGTGGAAAACATTCCCATTCTGCATTTCAGACAGTCACAGACAGCTTTGGGCTGGAAAGGAATTCATATTCAAAATTCCACGGGCGGGGACGCTTTCTGCTATCCAAGGCTGCTCCAAGTCCTGTCCAACCTGGACACTTCCAAGGAGCAGCCACAAAATCCCTGGAAAACCTGTGCCACGGCCTCCCCACCCTCCTGGGAAGGACTCATTCCCGATATCGCAATCTAACGCTGTGTGTCACGTTATCCCGTGCCGTGCAGGGATGCTCTGTGCAGGACACGTTATCCCGTGCCGTGCGGGGATGCTCTGTGCAGGACACGTTATCCCGTGCCGTGCGGGGATGCTCCGTGCAGGACACGTTATCCCGTGCCGTGCAGGGATGCTCCGTGCAGGACACGTTATCCCGTGCCGTGCGGGGATGCTCTGTGCAGGACACGTTATCCTGTGCCGTGCAGGGATGCTCTGTGCAGGACACGTTATCCCGTGCCGTGCAGGGATGCTCCGTGCAGGACACGTTATCCCGTGCCGTGCGGGGATGCTCTGTGCAGGACACGTTATCCCGTGCCGTGCAGGGATGCTCTGCCCCCGCCGCGCCCGGCCCGGCCCGCGGAGCCCGCCCCGCCCGCTGCGGCCCCGCCCGGCGCTTCCTGCGGGAGGAGGAAGCGGCGCCCGGGCCATGGAGCTGCCTCCCGGCCACTTCCCGGCCGCCCGCGCCGCGGCCGTGGCCGTGGAATACCTGCGGTACCTGCGGGGCGGCCCCGGCAGCGGGCTGCGGCTGCGGGAGCTGCAACGCGCCCGGCGCCAGGTGAGCGACGGGAACCGGCACCGGAACGGGCACCGGGAACCGGCACCGGAACGGACACCGGGAACCGGCACCGGGAACCGGCACCCGGAACCGGCACCCGGAACCGGCACCCGGAACCGGCACCCGGAACCGGCACCCGGAACCGGCACGGGGAACGGACACCGGGAGGTGTGGAGGTGCCGCTCTGGGGACATCCCAAAGCTGCCGGGCGCGCCCCGGTGTCACCCCTGAGGTGGCCCTGCCATGTGCCGTGTCCTTCCCAGCCGCAGCTGCTCGGGGCTGTGGCGCTGTCACCGCGGGGCTGGCACCGCCTGGCTCCGTCGGGGGGTCCTGGCAGAGCTCGGGGTCAGCGCTGGGGACACACCCCGTGTGTCACCTGCGGTGACAGCAGCGCCCAGGGAGCCCTGCCCAGGGCACGGCACCGGCACCCGGCCAGGAGGAACCTCCCGGGGAGGAGGAGGAGGAGGAGGAGGAGGAGGAGGGTGCGGGGTGCTCCTGTGCGTGCCAGGACAGGGCTCAGCCCTGCAGGGACACCTGGCACAGCAAAGCTGGCACGGCGGGGACACAGCAAAGCCCCTCCCAAAACAAGGGCACAGCAAACCCCAGCTGCTCCATTCTTAAAGACAGAAAAATACAGGGCATGATCCAGTTCATAATAACCTGCAAAACTGAATTAATAGAAGGAAGCACTGAGGGCTTTTAGGTGAGTGTTTAACCAAGCAGCAAATTCTTGGGTAGAATTACACAGGAGCCCAGAATTGGCAATCCAGGGTGTTCCAGGATAGAAATGAGGGTGGAGAGGCCCTGGCACAGAGTGCCCATCCCTGGCTGGATGGGACTTGGAGCAACCTGGGATAGTGGAAGGTGTCCCTGCCCATGGAAGGGGTGGTGCTGCATGGGATTTAAGGTCCCTTTCAGCCCAAACCATCCGGGGATGCTCTGATTTTGTCCAGGATGCAGCCATTCAATATTTGCCAAAATAAATGTTATTAATATTTTCCCTTTTTTAGGACATTGATGATGTGGGGCACAAGTACTACCTGGAACTGGAGCTGGAGGATGTCCTGGATAAAGTGAGTCACACTGGTTTAATTACACACTCTGTGCACACAGCACTTAAGACTTTGAACCATGCTCCTGATTTTTCTGAACTGCAAATCAGGCCCCAAAAAGGCTGAATTTTAACCAAAAGGAACCCACTGACCACTTGGTACCTTCCACTGCACCACCAGGCCATGGTGCAGGGAGGACAAGGACATTCCAGGGTCACCCAGCTCCAACTGAACAGCACAAGGGACATTCTGCACCCCAACCATCACTGCAGAAAGCAAATCCCACCCTCAAACATTCACAGAAATGCCAGGAATTCAACCTTGTCTTAAATATCCACAAACCTCTGGGGACCAGACTCAGAGGAAACAGCAACTACATCCAAATGACATTTTCAGAAGTGCAAATGACCTGGTTGTACACATCCTCTATCAGCTAATAATGCACATCATTAACTCTGCCACAGGACAGGACTGTCAGCTGCACTGCTGAGGTTCTCTATCACCTGGGCAGCAAAACCTCTGCTCCAGATGTGCAGCTCACAGTGCAAGGGGAGCTCAGGAGCACAGAGGCAGCAGACAAGGAGTTCTACAATCGGATCAGGAGCCTGGAAAAGGAGCTTGTGGCTGAGAACATCCCAGGTACAAGCCAGGGCTGGGAGAGGGCTCAGGCCTTCACCTTTCTCTTTTTGGGGGGGCTGCAGTCACAGCCACTGTATTTATTCCTGATTCTGAGAGTTCTGGAAAACCAGCTGGCACTGGCACTGCCACCTGTCCCTGCTCCCTCTGAGGGTGTCCTGGCACAGCACACCCAACACCCCAGTGCACAACGAGGGGCTGCCCTCACCTCAGACCAAGCCCTGCCTTCGAGACCTGGGGTGGAGGAGAACACCCTGCAGGTGTCCCAGGCAGGCTGGATCAGTGGGAGCACCTGGGGCAGTGCAAAGTGTCCCTGCCATGGCAGGGGTGGCACTGGATGGGATTTTGGGGCCCTTCCAACCCAAAGCACTGCAGGGCTGTGTGAGGTGGGAGCAGAACCCCGTGGTGATGGAGCAGCTCTTCCAAAGCCATGGAAGGCTGTGTGGCAGGGTTGGAGCAGCAGGCCCTGTGTGAGGTGACAATGCTCTGTTAAGGGCTCTCTTTAACACCCTGTGTTTGTTGTGGTTGCAGACAGCCACGGGAACGTTCCCCCAGAGCTGGAGCCCATCCACCTGCTGGCCTGGGTGGCCTCTGGCTACGTCATCTGGCAGAACTCCACTGAAAACACCAAGTTCCACCTTGCCCAAGTTAAACACGTGAAGCAAGTGGTGAGTTCCCACAGGAACACAAGCCCAGGCTGCTCTGGGCTGGAGGGACATTAAAGCTCACCCCATTCCCCCTCTGCATGGGCAGGGACACCTTCCACAGCCCAGGGTGCTCCAAGCCATCCAGCCTGGCCTTGGCTTTCCCAAGTAAAAAAATTATGAAATTTTACTTCATGGAAGTATTCATGAGCTAAGCAGCTGTGGCAAGGACAATAAATTAAATTAACAGAATTCCATAGATCCTCCCAGTTTCGCTGTGTTCTGTTAGAGAAAATCGATTCTGAGTTAAAAATAACCCTAAAGTGATCGTCAGCTTTAAATTCAAGGCAATTTTCCACAGGAGCCAGGAAAGAGCAGCAGGATTTAGTGTTTAGAAAACCAAAAGCTCCAGAAGTTTTACCCCTCTGAACAGAGAGTGAATTCCCAGGAAGTTCTGGGTCTGAAGGAAAGACAGGAATTCCTGTGGGAGTAGGATTTGTGAATGTTTTGCTCCCTCTGATGGCATTTTAGAGAATTCACAGCTGCTGCAGGGCTGTGCACCAGCAAGAGTTTAAAGATTCTCTCTAACAAACTTAAGGATAAAGGAGACAATAACTATTAACTAACCCAGCTGCCATCTCTCTAGTTTTGTGCCTTTGTCCCTGAAAATAGAGGGAAAGCATCTATTCCAAAGGCCAGGGATTATTTTGTCACTCAGAATCCCTGGCTGTCACTTACAGAAAGGCCTCTGGAGTGTCCTTGAGGATTTTATTTGGGATTGTTTGGGTTAAACTGGCACCTGCTAGAATGAGGTGTTCCCATCCCAAAGAATTCCTGACAGAATTCCTGGTCTCTGTAAGGCAGGAATTAGCAGTTTAGAGCTTTACATTCACTGTCTCCAGTGCAGTTTTAAGAGTGCACAGAAATTCAAACCAGGAGCTTTTAATTTTGTTACAGTGCTTGAGCCCCACCTGCTTCATTTGTGATCAGGAGCTGCCAGTTTTATCTGAAATCCATGAGGGAATTTTTGTGATAATCACAGAGAACTGAGCCACTTTTTGTGAGGTGGGAGAACCCCCAAATTCAGCCCTTTTCATCCTGTCTTTCCAGAAAAGAAATGATGAAGATCTTCAGTTTGACTTTGTGCTTCTACTCCATGAAATGGTGTCCCAGGTAAATCATTTTATTCCTAAAAAGCCTTTTTTGGGTGTTTTAGGACTGCAGCTGTGTGTCAGACACAGATCTGATGCTGCAGGGTGAGCTCAGGGTCCCCAGCCCTGCCTGCCTCAGCATTCCAGGAACAACAGCAGCAACTTCCAGCTCTTTTGGGCCTTTGGTGGGAATGGCTGAGGTTCAAATCTGGTCCCTCACAGCTCTCCCTTGGGAGACCCCAGTGCCAGAGTGGGCAGGAATAAAGGGAAGGGGCAGCTGGAGCATCCTGGATGCTGAATTCCAGCTGGGCTGTGGATCCTCCATGGCCCAGGACAGAGACCTCAGCAATCCCAGTAACCCCCAGCACAAACTGGCTCCCAGAACAGCATTTACATCTCTCCAGCAAAACTCTGCCATCAGAGCAGGTGTTTTCATAGGAAAACCACAGAAAACTGGGAAGAGAAGCTCTTGACTGTAATAATCCAGGGACCTCCCTCCCAGCTGCAGCTCCACTGCTCCTGACCCCCTGCACTCCCATTCCTTTGGGTTTAATTCCCAAGTTTTCCATGAGGGAGCTCCTGGCAGGCTGGGAGGGGCAGCAGGGGCTGCTGACAGTGCTGTGTGTGCCCCACAGGAGGTGCTGCCCTGGGAGGTGACCCTGCTGTGGCACCCCCAGCGCGGGGCCCGAGTGACCCAGAGCCGCGCCGGGGGAGCGGGGAGCTCCTGAGAGCAACTGGGAGCAACTGGGAGCTCCTGGGAGCAACTGGGAGCTCCTGAGAGCAACTGGGAACACCTCTGGCAACTCCTGAGCACTCCTGGGAACAACTGAGAGCAACTGGGAACACCTGGGAGCAACTGGGAGCTCCTGAGAACAACTGGGAGCTCCTGAGAGCAACTGGGAACAACTGGGAACACTCCTGGGAACACCTGAGCACGTCTGGCAACTCCTGAGCACCCCTGGGAACAACTGGGAATACCTGGGAGCTCCTGAGCAACCCTGGGACACCTGGGAACCCCTGGAACACCCCTGGGAACTCCTGAGCACCCCTGGAACACCCCTGGGAACTCCTGAGAGCTCCCACACCTGGAAGTCGCAGGTGATGGGAGTGGAGACCAACCACGGTACAAGACATTGAATTCAATTTTCCTGGGTGTTTTTGATCCCAGAATTCCAAAGGGACTTCCCCTCCCTTCCAGGGGATGGATACAATTCCCAGCAGGAATACTCACGGCACAGGGGCAGAGATGTTCTCCCTGAAGGACACTTTGGGCTTCCCCATGGTGCAAGGACAACCATATTCCCTCTCCATTCTCTGCAGGAGGAAACCCACAGTGATGAGGGTTATTCCATGGGGAATTATTTAGTAACTTCATCAGGATTAATCACTTTTTTGGTTGGGGGTTGGATTGATTTTTGGGGCTTTTTTTTCTTTTTAATTAACAAATTATTCCCCATCAACTTCTTTAAGACATGCATCTTCAGATGCAGGGAAAGGAAACACAATTAATTATGTTATTAAAATTCAAGTTTTTCAAGGCAAAAATCACCTTTTCTTCATTTTTTCAATATTTAAGATACATCTTTTTGTGTTAAGATTAAAATATAGCATCAGCTGGAATGAAACAAATCCCTCTAACTACTCCTTTCTCCCTGCACCAGCTTTTATTACAAAATGATACACTTAAAACCACAGAAACAGAGGATTTTTTTCTGTAGAAATTAATTATAATTAGGTATTATTAATTAATATAAGCAAAGGCTACTAGAGCAAAGTGTAGTGTTTAATACATTTTTTATGGATTGTACCAAATCCTAAAAATATTCCAGGCAAAATTTCCTTTTAGAAGCCTTCAGAATGGAACCACTGGAGAGAAAGAACCTTCAAATGTTGACTTAAAAGTTGAACTTTTCCCTAAGCAGCTGGAAGGAACAGGGAGGAGGAAAAGGAGATGGGAAAAGCAGGCAGAAGCAGAGTCCATGGGATGTGTTCCCAAATTACCTGGGCATAGATTTCCAGGTGCAGCTCCCCCATCCCAGAGACAATGGTCTCCTTGCTCTCCTCATCAAAGTGGATCCTGAAGGTGGGATCTTCCCTGGTGAAGCGGCCCAGGCCTTTGGAAAACTTGTCCAGGTCATTCTGAAAGCCAAGATTTGCTCAACATCCATGAGTCACTCCAAGAAAAAAACCTCAAGTTCTCCCATCCACTGCTGAGCATTTCTGCTCTTCGGGTTATTTTATGTAAGATTTCTAACTCTTGATTAAAGTGTTAATTATGTATTTCAAGCTCATGTTTCTGGCTGAGTGACAGCATCCAACTCTGGGTTATCCAATGGATAAAGTCTTGGATATTTGGGATAAAACACTTTCCAACAGTGCTTGGACTGTTCCATGAAATCTCAAAGCAGCAAAGGGAGGGAACTCAGGGAGGAGAGGTTGGTGCAAAGGCTCCTACCTTGTTGGAAGGCTTCATAGCCACGGAAATGACAGGATCGGGGATGTGGATGGATTCCTGGGTGGCCAAGGAAAAGGGGATTACAAATTCCAGCAAAATCCTGGTGACTGGCAGTGCCTGAGGCAGCCAGGGCAAGGGGGGCTCACCATGGAGATGTCAGTGCTGGTTTTGTCTGTGAACGTGTCCCCGCTGGCGCAGTCGATCCCAAACAGGGCACAGATGTCCCCAGCATAAACTTCATTCACATCCTGAGGGAAGGAAAACTCCTCTGCAGACAACACTGGGATAAGAGAAGCTGTGGCTGCCCCTGGACCCTGCAGGTGTCCAAGGCCAGGCTGGACAGGGCTGGAATCACCCTGGCATTGTGGAAGGTGTCCCTTCCCTTGGGGCTGGATGATCCTTCCATCCCTTCCATCCCAAACCATTCCAGGATTGATTCTGTCTTTCCCTCACACCCAAACTCCACTGGATTATAGAAGATCCATAAACTGTTGTGTTTTAAGGTTTCATACTGAGCTCCTTAAAAACTTCCAGCTTGGTTAAAAACCCTGCAAATCTCCCTCTTTATTCAAAGGACAAAAGGGAGGGCTCAGCTTGGATTAATTCAGGATCAAACAAAAGCAAAGCTGTTAAGAAGCAAAGACCATCCTGTGCTTCAGGATCATCATCCAGGGTGATGCAGGGCTGAGGCAGTGCTGACCCACCCAGGACTGCCCAGGGGCTGGCAGCCCATCCCTGGGGCCCACTCACCTCCATGTTGTCCGAGTGCATCCGGACCAGTCTCTGCACCCTGACCCTCTTCCCTGTGCGGGTGTTGTAGATGTAATCTGACTTCTTCAGCATCCCCTGGTACACCCTGACGTAGGTTAACTGCCCAAACTTGCCAGCCTGCAAGCACAGCCCACCAAAATCTGATCATTCTGGGAACCACTGATGCCTCAGGTTTGAGCTTTTCTGTGTTTCCCATTGTGTACGGGTCTGAGCTTCACATTTTGGGATGCTGAGCTCTGTGCACAGAGCAGGGAGACAAAACAATTCCTGCTCCAGCTGGGCACCAAGGACAAATGATCCAAATCTCAGCCCAGGAGCACAAACCCCGTGGGCTGGAGAGAGAAAAACAAGCAGGGTGGGACTGCAGGGGCTAAAGCTGGGATGGGACAATGAACTGCAAGGTGCAAATGGAGCAGAACTGATCCAAGGCAGAGAGCCCGGGAGCGCTGGTGCATTTTGGGGCCATTTTGGTTCATCTTGGGTGCAGCCCTGGCTGGGCTCTGGTGCTGCCCAAGGTGGATCCATGGAGGAGATGCTTGGAATGAATCCCTGCTTTGTTCTTTAATCCCATCCAGTCTCTGTTCTTGATCAGCCTTCACGAGGCACCAGCAGCACCAATCCCAAGCACCAGCTGCACTGACTAAATGTGGTGTGAGTTTCCACACTACCAATGGAAATGAAAGATTCTCTGCAATGGAATTTGGCAATTTTCTGAAGCAATTTTTCATTCCCAAACCTTCCCAAGAGATACATGCTACCATGGAACGTGGCCAGCCATTTTCCATATTCCATAGAAATCCTGAAGTGCTGCTCTCTAAGTAGTAAACAACTTATTTGCCTTAACTTCTGCACTTTTTTCACTCTGACTCTCTCATGTCCCATTGTTTCCAAGGCCAGGATTTTTCCCTGAAAATATTTCAGTTAAGCCAACAACCCCCAGGATGTTCAAGTTTTAACTAAGAAAACCAGGAAATACTTGAGGTCCAGAACCCACCCTGAAGTTCCAAACTGGCAGAGTTTATGGATTTTATGGTTGAAGCCTTTTCTTTAAAAAGAAGTTAAATTTCAATTGAAGTCAAATATAAACTGCTTTTCAGTCTAAAGTGATTTAAAAGCCTGCTGTAGGTGAGTTTTGGTAGCACCAGCTGGATTCCCTCCATGACTGTGGGAAGGAGCAGTGTGAGACTCACCTCCAGCTTGAAGGCAAGGCCGATGAAAGGCTGGGAATCGTCACGAGCAGAGTTCAACAGGAACTTGGTTTGGTCCTGAGAATCCCTGAGAAACAGGGATGAGAGGGAGGAGAGGTTAGGAATGAACACTGGAGTCTCCTCTAAACATCTACAGGCTCTGCTGTTGGGGTTCACATGTCTGGGTGGGCTCTGCTCCCAGGGACAGGGACAGGAGGAGAGGGAACAGCCTCAGGCTGGGGCATGGGAGGCTCAGATTGGAATCAGCAGGAATTTCCTCATGGAAAGGGTGGGGAGGCCTTGGCAGGGGCTGCCATGGGAGGTTTGGAGTCCCTGTCCCTGGAGCTGTCCCAGGAATTCCTGGAGGTGACACTCAGTGCTCTGGGTTGGGTGACAAAGGGAAGACTGGGCACAGCTTGGACTCAATGATCCTGGAGCTCTTTTCCAGCCTCAGGGATGCTGGGATTCATGTCCATAAGAATAAAACACAATTTACACACTTGGCACGTGCTCCCTCCTCTAGGTAGGCCATGCTTTAAGGGCTGCCATCAATTCTAAAGAATTATCTCAATTATTATTAATTCTAAAGAATTATCTTCCATTGTCCAAATGCAACACTGAATGTGGCAAAATCCCAGCACAGAGAGTAACCCTTGAATGAGAGAGGAGCTTTGGGACTTTGTGCCAAATGCTGGTGGCAGTGTTTGATACCAATGCTAAAGGATTGTGGATGCTGTTAGGAATGTTTCCTGCTTTGAAACTATTCCATGGAATGCCAGACTGGTTTGGGTGGGAAGGGTCCTTGAAGGCCATCCAGTGCCATGAGCAGGGACACTCCACAGCCCTGCCCCTGGACACTCCTGCTGCTGCTCACCCCTGGTTGAGGAGGGCGTAGTTCTCCACCTCAGAAGGGTTGGGAAGGTATTCCAGGACAGCATCCAGCAGTGGCTGCACCCCTTTGTTCTTCAGAGCACTTCCCACGAGGACAGGGGTGAAGGATTTCTGCAGCGTTGCCCTTCGGATTGCCAGCTGAAAAATATCCCAGTGAACTCCTCCTGCAGCACAGCCCAATCCCCTGGCTTCCCTGGGCTTCTCCTCCCCTGGAGCAAAGAGCTGCTCCCACACCCCCCTGGACACCCCCCAGCCCCCCAATTCTGCTCTCCAGAATTCTTCAACAGATTGGGAACGGGCCCTGCCAGTTCAGCCCAGCTGACACAACTCCAGCAAACAGAATTCCTGATAGATTTATTGAGGAATGAGGGGACAGGGACACAGGTGAGGGGGAACAGGCAGCACAAGGAAGGTACCTTTAACTGTGCAGCTGTGGGAATCTTCTCCTCCAGGAACAGCTCCCCCAGGAGCTCGTCAGCATTGGCCACGCACTCGATGAGCTCCCGGCGCCGCTCCGCAGCCTCCGCCCGCAGCTCCGCCGGGATCTCCTCCACCCTCAGGGTCTGCCTGCACACACAGGGACCCCAGGAGCTCCACAGGGACCCCCAGGAGTTCCACAGGGAGCACAGGGACCCCAGGAGCTCCACAGGGAGCCCCAGGAATGCCACAGGGACCCCCAGGAATGCCACAGGGAGCCCAGGAATGCCACAGGGACCCCCAGGAATGCCACACAGGGAGCACAACGACCCCCAGGAATGCCACAGGGAGCACAGGGACCCCCAGGAATGCCACAGGGATCAATCAGCCTGCCCACCTCTGGCATGACCACCCTGACTGAGAACGATCCACCCTGGGAAAAAATCCCCTGTGGACATCAGCTGGTATCTCTGGTGTGGGAGAGTCCTTCCACTGCCAGCAGCTCAGCCACAGCTGATCTTCATCCCAGGGAGCCACACACGCTGCAGGATCCCCTCATGGAGCAGCCCCCTGCTTCTCCAGGTGGGAAGTGTGGCCACCAGCCCTTCACAGCCACCCCCAGCCAGAGCTCCCTGCAGGCCCTGGGCACTGGGAGAGCTGCAGGGGGACCCTCAGCCCCAGCACAAGCCCTTCCCAAACTTCCAGAGAGCTGGGTTTCATCTCTGAAGAGAAACTGCAGGAATTCCTCCTGCAAAGAGCAGCTCCAGCTAGAAAAGAAGCAATTTCCAGGACTTACCCAAGTGCCCCATCAAAATAGATTGCTTTTTCTTCAATGAGATCTATGATTCCTTTAAAGTTTCCTTCCAGCCCAATTGGAATCTGAACAAAAGCTGCATTGTGTTTCAACTTGGATCTGAAAAAGAGAAAATAGGAATTATTGAATACAAAAAGTCATTTCTATGTGTGTGCTCCAGATGGTCTTTGAGCAACATCCCCCTCCCACAAAATCCATGTTTTGTCCTTTGGACAGTGCCAAAATCTACCAATATGGATAAAAACCACCCAGTTGTGGTTTAGGGCTTTGTGTCCCCGCTTTTGATCCCAACAGGCCCAGGGAGCAATTCCCATGGGAAAGGCAGCAGGGGAAATGAGTTTGAGATTGATTGCTTGATTAAGGGAGTTGCCTCTCCCTTAATGAATATTAATGAGATTAACTCATGGATCAAATTAGGCAGGGAAAGGTTGGGAGTAAGCAGGGTTTCCAGGAATCCAAAGCACCATGTGTCACCACCCTGCTGGAATTTCAGCAGGATCCAGGGAAAACTGAGAGGCTGCTCTCAAAGTAGGTCCTGATACAGTTCCACCAACAAAGCAAACATCAAACCCCAGCCCTTGGTCACTGCAGGTCCTGGCTGACACCAATACTGGGGGGGTTTGGGACAATGGAGATTTGTCCAGATCAGGATTTAACCTCGTGTCAGGAATTCTCCAAACTGCAGCGCCCAAGAGAATCCTCCTGGAATTTCAGGAATCATTGTAAGTGCCCAAACCTGAGCTGCTGCACTGCTCTGGCTGGGTTGGAGCCCATCCTGTCCAGTTTGTTGATGAAGGTGAGGAAGGGGACGTTGTAACGCTTCATCTGCCTGTTGACAGTGATGGTCTGGCACTGCACACCTCCCACAGCACAAAGAACCAGGATGGCTCCATCCAGCACCCTCAGAGACCTCTCCACTTCAATGGTGAAGTCCACATGGCCTGGATAACAAACACAAATAAAAATGATAAATGCATTGGAAAGGAGCAACAGCCAAGGGAATCACACTGGGTGACATCAGCTGAAGTGATGGAGCACAGAGTCATGGAATGGTTTGGGTGGGAAGGGACCTTAAACCCCATTCCAGCCCTGCCATGTGCAGGGACACCTTCCACTGTCCCAGGCTCCTCCAAGCCCCATCCAGCCTGGCCTTGGGCACTGCCAGGGACCCAGGGGCAGCCACAGCTGCTCTGGGCACCCTGTGCCAGGGCCTGCCCACCCTCCCAGGGAACAATTCCTTCCCTATACCCCATCTATCCCTCCGTCAGTTTGAACCCACCACTCCATGTTCTGTCACAACCAGGGACACAAAGGTGCACCATGTGCCCTGTACCCATAGGAACAGCAATCCCCAGATGCTGCCAGCTGCCCTTACCTGGCGTGTCGATGATGTTGATGTTGGTGTCCTTCCACATGGTGTAAGTGGCTGCAGACTGGATGGTGATGCCCCGCTGTCGCTCCAGCTCCATGGAGTCCATGACAGCTCCAACTCCATCCTTACCTTTCACCTTAGGAGAAATAAAAAAATTAGTTCAAGGAGTTTGCTAAGAATTCATATCCCATCCCTGGAAGTGTCCGAGGCCAGGCTGGACAGGGTTTGGAGCAAGCTGATCTGTGGAAGGTGTCCCTGCCCATGGCAGGGGGTGGGATGGGTGAGCTCTCTTCCCACCCAAACCATTCCATGATATTGTGCATCCACGTGCAGGAGTGATGCTGCACGGACTGAGCGTCCTCCCTCATGCAGAAAAACACAGTGTGGAGGTCAGTGGCAGGAAGATCCCGGTGGGAGCTCGGCCCAACCTCGTGCATCTGCGCGATCCTGCCTGTGTAGAACAGGATCCGCTCCGTCAGCGTGGTCTTGCCGGAGTCGATGTGAGCGGAGATCCCGATGTTCCTGATCCTCTCGTTGGGAAGGACCCCCGAGGAGCTGTGTCTGCACGAGGTCAGCAGGAGCTGCAAGGCAAGACAAGGGCACTGCTCAGCCAGGAGTGGATCCAACACAGCTCACAGGACACCAGGAATGGGATGAGGGGAAATGGCCTCAAGCTGGGCCAGGGGATGCTCAGGTTGGACACCAGCTGGAATTTCCCCATGGAAAGGGTGGTCAGGCTTTGGCAGGGGCTGCCCAGGGAGGTCTGGAGTGCCCATCCCTGGAGGTGTCCAAGGAATTCCTGGAGGTGGCACTCAGAGCTCTGAGCTGGGGACAAGGTGGGCATCGGGCACAGCTGGGACTCGATGGTCTTGGAGGGTTGTTCCAAGGTAATTTACCCTGGGATTCACTATGCCCATGGCTGAACTGCCAAACCCTTCCCCACGGCTTCCTGTCAATCTATGGCGAACCGGTCACCTCGACCCGAGTGGCCTTTCCAGGGTCACCTCGGAGCTGTCACCACAACCCGCGCGGTCCCTCCCCGCCCGCCCCGCTGCCCATTCCCGGTTCCCCTGTCCCCATCCATGTGACCGGGGGCTGCTCGTTCCCTGCAGCTGCTGCGGCCCGTCCGGGCTGTCCCTCCGCCCTCCATCCCTTCTGCTCGCGGCTCCCTCCCCTCCCTGGGGCGCCGTCCCCTCATGCGGGAGCGGGGCGGTCCCGCCGCCGGTACCTGGATGTGCTGCGGGCGGCCGGGGGCCAGCCCGGCCCGTAACACCCTCAGCATGGCCCCGGCTGCGGCTGCGGCCCCGCTCCCGGCTCCAATCCCGGCTCCGGCCCCGGCTCCAATCCCGGCTTCAGCCCCGGGTCGCTCCCGCCTCTTCCGGGGCTCCGCGCAGGCGCCGCGGTCCCGCCCGGCCCCTCACAGACTCCTCAGAGAGCGTCCCCGGGCGGGAGCCCCAGGGCGGCATGGAGAGGGGAGGCTCTCACTGCCCGGCCCCTCACGGGCTCCTCCGGCTGCGGCGGGAGCTCCAGGGGCGGCATGGAGAGGGGAGGCTCTCAGTGTTCCCCCGGCCCCTCACGGAGCGGCGCCGGGCGGGAGCCCCGAGGGCGGATGGAGAGGGGAGGCTCTCGCTGCCCAGCCCGGCCCCTCACGGGCCCCGCAGGGTGCGGCCCCGAGGGCGGATGGAGAGGGGAGGCTCTCGCTGCCCACCCCGGCCCCTCACGGGCCCCTCGAGGTGCGGTTCTGAGGGCGGATGGAGAGGGGAGGCTCTCGCTGCCCACCCCGGCCCCTCACGGGCCCCTCGAGGTGCGGTTCTGAGGGCGGATAGAGAGGGGAGGCTCTCGCTGTCCCCCCGGCCCCTCACGGGCCCCGCAGGGAGCGGCTCTGAGTGCGGACGGAGAGGGGAGGCTCGCACCGAGCCCATCCCGGAGCGCCCTCGGGCTGGTCCCTCCCCGGGAGCGATCCTGGGCCAGCCGTGGGGGTTCCCGGAGTGCGGAATTCTCCGAGTGCGGCCTGAAAGGGGCGGATTTCAACCAAACCATGGAGCGGGACAGGGCCCGCATCGGGGTCACAGCCCAGGAGTTTGGGAATTAGGGGAATTAGAAACAACTGGAGAGCGGCGCTCCCCGGGCCGGGGGCTGAAGTGCCGGGAAAAGGGAACACAAGGCTGGGATGGGGCACCGGCACCCATTTCGAACACGCTGTGAAAATCGACTCTTGATTCAAAATTACTATCTGGAGCAGCTCTGAAACAGAGGCCCTCTCCGTACTGTTTGGTTCCATCAAGCTTTTATTTTCTGTGGAAAACGCACGGTCACCTCTGGAAACGGAGGGATTTCCAGAGAATGCCGGAGTGGTTCTGCTGAATCCCATCCCATTCCACCCCTCCAGGGGCAGGGACACCTCCCAGAGCCCAGCGTTCCTTCCCTGAACTGTTTCAAAGCAGCCCGAACTAAATAATGCACAAGTCCCTCTGCAGTGTAGAATAAACCAACAAACCCCATAAATAATAAATAACTTTATTAAAGAATTGCAGTTTCAGATGCTTTTACAGAGCACAACTTGTGCCTTACATTGGAGAACAGTCTTGGTGTAGCAAAGGGATCTGGAGGAATATTCACCTCTTCCCACTGTCACTTCAAACCCAGGATGAGCTTGTTTGATTTCACACAAAAATCAGAGTTATCAGGTGAATTTTCAATTTAACAGCAGCAGCTCTCCAAGAGTGTTGCTGTTAATTACTGAGAAGATTATCTCATAAATGAATTGCAGAATCCACGTTGTCCCCAGTGGATGGAAAACGAGTCCCTGGGTTGAGCTCTGACTTTAAGGGGTGTCCAACCCCCCTGACCCCCACAGCTCATTAAAGGGTCCAATTATTGCCATTAATATTGATCACATCAACTTATTGCCACTGATACTTCTCTAATTCAGGAAGAGACCACAAGAAAATAACAGTCCTTCCCTTTTCAGAGCTCAACAGCAGTGCTGCTGATTGGGTTTGCACATTAATAAACATTAATTAAATAACCTGGGGAAACTGCAGGAAGATTAAATATGAGTTAGAGGCTTTTTGGCCAAACAAATATTACTCTTAACTTATTAAACCCTATTCTCTCATACAAACAGTAATTTAAAGGCTACATTATAATGGAGCCATGAATTTATGTAAAGCTTTAGTGTTATTAATTTATATTATTTAATTTACAGAAATTCTTTCTGCTACACCACAGGGATAGTTCTGCATGGTAGAACAGTACAGGGACTGAACACCTGGAATCCCAGGATTTTCCTAGTCTCAGGCACTGCTGGCTCTTCTAAACTCCTATCAAATGTAGATTTAGGGTCATTCTACTCTCAGTAAAACACAAAGAACACAGAAAGGAGAGGGGTTCCTGTATCCAGGGCTCTTTACAACACAAGAAATGGTGAAATCATTCCAGTTAAACTCATTTCTCCCATGTATTTTTCCCCATGAGTAATTCCTAGTTGCAGCTGATCTCAGGACACTGATATTACTACAGGATAATTACAGTAATTAAATACTACAGACAATCCTCAAAATGGAAAATGATGGGCTAACTCCACAGGAAACAAAGGATCAGGAATACAAAGTTGACAGTTCAGGCACAGGAAATGAGGTGCAAGCACAGCTTGTTAACATAAAAACTCTGATAAATGTAAAGTATTGGCATATTTCAGTATTTCCTCTCATTTTATGTTACACCACGGTGAGTGTAGGGGTTCTGTAACAATTTATAATATGATTTTAAAGTAGTGCTTTACACTGTATTCAAGTTCTATTAATTAACCTAGAAAATCAGTAATTATTTCAGCAACCTAAAATAAAGGAAATTTGCTTTCTGTGCAACTCAGAGTGGGAAGGGGGAGCTGCAGTACCAGGCTTAGTAAAGCCTGAGATTGGTGCAGCTGGAGCAGAACTGCTCTGCAAATCCAAGCTGGTTTGACCAGGCTTGGAGATGTTCCATAAAGTGCTTTTAGGCAGAAAGTTGTTGGGCTGGAATTCACTGAGGAGCTGAGGACACTGAGAAGCAGGAGGAGCAAAGGCACAACACAGAGCAGAGATTGGTCACAAATCCAGGTGTATTTTTATGGACACGAGCACTGAGCACCATTCATCTGCTCCAGGGAACCTCTGTCCCAGGGAATGGGGACAGTTAATTCCTGGAGCCCTTCAGGGGGACAGGAGTTCCTTTCACACTGAGAGCCTCCAAGGAATCCCTGGGCACCCTGGATCCTGGAGCTCCAAGTGGCTTCTCTCTGGAAAAAGAACAGCAATGGTCACAATCTCCATGGAAACAGGAGGAATAAAACCTCTTGGAGCATTGCTCCAGAACTGGATTTTCTTTCTGCTGCTGGAAATTCCTTATCCTGCAGGGAACTGGTTTTACCTTCTTGATCCACCTTCCCTGGGGCTGTAATGGGCACTCCTGGACCTTGAAGCTTCCACAGCTGCTCTGCTTCGGCAAGGCCTGAACTTCATGATCTCCCTCTGCCACTCCTCATCAAAGGTGCCAGCCTCAGCTGGAAAACAAACACATTTATTTGAAATGTTCATTAAGAGAGGAATAAAAAATTAATGACTATTAGGGGGTTTGGGTAGCGATTTTAAGCTTTGTCATCCACAATTCTCCACATGGCCTACAACTGTTTTTGGGGATATGTAAAAGAGAATTTGGATTTAAAGGTGCCTTTTAAGATATCTCAAGCTGGAACTTCCAAATCAGAGTGTGAAACACTGTAAAGCTCATTAGCTGCCTAAAAAGACCTACATTCATCCAGGTTGATGAATTCTTGGTTCATCTCCTCATCCCCAGTCTTGGAGTTCTTGGATCTTCTGATGACATGAGCCCGATCCTGGATGTGGTGACCAACAGATATTTTCTCCACTCCACTTTCAGAATCCTTCAGTGCTTTTCTTGTTTCTTTAAGCTGTTTAAAAAAAAAAAAAAAAGGGAACTGAGTGTCCTTCCAACTAAAAATGAGGTAAAAAGAGTTCACAGAACCCCAGGATGGTTTGGGTTGGAAGGGACCTTAAAGCCCACCCAGTGCCACCCCTGCCATGGCAGGGACACCTGTCACTGTCCCCAGTGTCCAACCTGGCCTTGGGCACTGCCAGGGACCCAGGGGCAGCCCCAGCTTCCCTGGAAGAATTCCCTTCCAATAGCCCATCCACCCCTGCTCTCTGCAGTGAAGTCATTCCCACTTGTCCTGGCACTCCAGGCCCATGCAAAGGGTTAAATCCTCCCCCAATAATTTTATATCTTTCCTTTACAAAAGTCAAGTTTTCCAGGCTTCTCCAATTCTCTCATTTCCTGTGCTGGCTGTGAACACACCAACAAAACACAAATCAAGCCTATTTTCCTTTGGCCACCAGAGAGGAAGATGAAACAACACCTCAGGTGTTTTAACTGGGTATTAATTCTTGGGGAAAACCCCCCGAGTTTAAAAATGCTACAGAGCCAAGGTTCCAACATTCTCCTTGGCAACACAAGAGCAACAGCTGATGCCAAAATTCCCAGCATGAGGAACAACCAGTTACTGAGCTGTGGTGCTGACTGGCTTGGAAGGCAGGCTGGCCCTTATCAGTGTCCTGGGCTATAATTAGCAGCCTTGTGCTAAGGGCTGTGCTGGAGCTGGGACACATTCCCAGCCAATCCTGCCCACGGCCTTTAGGGATCCTGTCTAGGCTTTCATGGCCCGGGCCAGGTTCACATTCCCACTCCCAGTTCCCAGCAGGATTAGACACAACAGCTGCAAGGGAGCTGCAGCTCAGGGTTATGTAAGTGTCTGGCCAAAGGGGTGCTCTCAAGGCAGGGGTTGCATAAATCAGTGCCTCTCCTGGAGTTTAAGTGGACAGGAAAAGGATTCATTACAGCAAAGAGAAGGGCACTGGAAAATTACTGCTCTGTGCTCTGTTTTCCCAGCCTTGGATGGGACTGTAATTTATTTTGGGGTGTACTTAGAACACAAAATTACAGGGAGGAAATCAGACCTTTAACACAGAGCAGGGTTGGAGAGCCCTGTGTTTTCCTCAATCCCTGAATTTTCTTTGTGCAGTCAAGGGTGTGTGGGGGGGTCAGGCTCTGCTCCCAGGGAACAGGGACAGGAGGAGAGGAACAGCCTCAGGCTGGGCCAGGGCAGGCTCAGTGGGACATCAGCAGGAATTCCTTCATGGCAAGGGTGAATAAACATCGGAAGGGGCTCCCAGGGAGGTTTGGGGTGCCCATGCCTGGAGGTGGCACACAGTGACAAGGTGGGGACTGGGCACAGACGGACTCAAGGCAAGCTCAGTGATGGCAGGAGTCTGTAAATCCCAGGAGTCTGCAGCCACTGCTGTGCTGCACCTGCACCCGGGCAGGGCCCAGCTC